GTCCTCCTGGCTGTGACTGACTGACGTCTTGTATCTCTCCATGTCACAGCCCTCCTGGCTGGCTGACTGACTGACTGGCTTACTCACTGATTGACTGACTCATTGACTGCCTGACTGACTGACTAACTGACTGACTGACGTCTTGTATCCATCTAAGTTTCGGCCCTCCTGACTTTGACTGTCTAACTGACTGACTGACTGACTGACTGACTGACTGACTGACTGACTGATTGACAGCAATTGACTGACTGACTGACTGACTGACTGACTGACTGACTGACTGACTGACCGACTGATTGACAGCAATTGACTGACTGACTGACTGACTGAATGACTGACTGATTGACTGACGTCTTGTATACCTCTAGGTCTCCGCCCTCCTGGCTCTGCGGCCTTTCCTGAAGCGGATGACGCCCTCCCAGCTGTTCCTTGTGATCACGTCAATCTTCTCCTCGCTGGGCGGGGCTTACCTCGCCATACTCTCCGCCCTCGGGGTAAGTTATTATTGTCACTGGGCGGGGTTTACCTCGCCATTCTCTCCGCCCTCGAGGTAAGTTATTATTGTCATTGGGCGGGCTTACCTTGCCATACTGTCTGCCCTCGGGGTAAGTTATCACTTTCCCTGGGTGGGGCTTACCTCGCCACACTGTCCGCTCTCGCGGTGAGATGTCTCTTTTCTCGGCACCCATGTCTTGTCATCGTGTCACTCGGCATCCTTGTGTGTTTGTTTGTTTGACTTGAGTAAAGATAAGCACATGGGAACAGTTACGGAGAAGGGAGGCAGTAGTTATACAAGAGTTCGAATCCTGAGCGAGGAAGATATTTTGTCGAGTCCCTTGGTCAGTCTACATTATGTGTATACTGGGTTCTTCTGAACTATGGACAAGGGTTGATACTGTGTTAATGGGAACGTAAGAAATAATTAACAATTAACATTTAAATCCTAAAACAAATGGTTGATTAATTTTTAAAAATCTATTAATTAAAATTAACTAAAAAACCACCGACCTTTGCCTGGAGTTTTGTGAGACGTTTTTATTGACATTGACACACATCAGATTCTCACCTCAGATCTCCCTCAAGTTTTGTGTAAAGTCATAATATGGTCGCTTTTAAGGATAAGTGGGCTAACCCAGATTTCGGGGGTTTCCAGAAATCTTGACCTACACCAAAAATGGGAATTGCCCTACCTATAGGAGAAGTTTGGTTTCATTAGTGTGTATATTTGTTTGGTTATAGAGAAAACTCTCCTTGTCTTTTAAAGAAACTGAACAAGGGGCAAAAACTTTACCTTCCATTTTTTCAAAACAGCATTTTTCGGGATGGCCCCCTTGTGCTTAAAAGTGACCATATTGAGACACACCAAACTCTCTCTTCAGATCACCCTCAAGTTTTGTGTAAAGTCATATATCGACACACGTCGATGACACACTTATAATCCTCTCCCCAGATCTCCCTCCAGTACATAATCCCCTCCATGGTGATCTCTGCGCCGGCCACCTTTGCCGTGTGTAAACTTGTCGTGCCGGAATCGAAGCCCAACCGGAAGTCTGACCGTAAAGTTGTCCTTGGCAATGGAGAGAACGAGTAAGGCAACACTTCCGCTTTGCAAACATTTCATTTGTGTTGTTGTCTATCGATGTTTGTTTTGCTGTCTATCAATGTTTGTTTTGCTCTCTATCAAATGTTTGTTTTGTGGTCTGTCAATGTTTGTTTTGTGGTCTGTCAATGTTTGTTTTGTTGTCTGTCAATGTTTGTTTTGTGGTCTATCAATTTTTGTTTTGCTGTCTATCAGATATTTTTTTTTAAGGTTTTCTATCAATGTTTGCTATGTTGTCTGTCAGTGTTTTTTTGTTTTTTTTTATCATTGTTTGTTATGTTGTATATTGTTGTCTGTCAATGTTTGTTTTGTTTTACTACCAATGTTTTTGTTGTTACGTTGCATTAGTTTGGCTTTATTTGATGTGGGTGACAATAGAAGATACGCACCCCGTAGTTATCTATCTATCTATCTATCTATCTATCTATCTATCTATCTATCTATCTATCTAT